GTAATAATAATAATAATAATAATAGCGTGCGTGTGTGTATATAATTGTAATCATAATAATATTAGCTGTATCTACAATAAAACTTTTTTGCGTAACTCAACAAAAACACTTTAACTATGATTAGAAAAACACTCCTTTAGGTCCCAGGACCATATATTACTAAGTGCTTAAAAAATCAGTCAACAAGCTCAAATAATTATTGTGAACTTACCATGCTACTTACTTTATTACTATTGCTATTATTTAATTAATTGCTATTTAATTATCTACTTCATTAATCTTATTATTCATATGAGTATAAATGACAATTTAATATTTTTGGATTGTGCCATACATAAAAAATCGCAATTACTGCAAATAAACAAACGAAAAAATAAAATTAAATAAAATTATTAATAATAAAGTGAGAGTACAAAAATTATCCGATATTAGTCCACTCAGTTTTTCGAGTGACAAACTCCTTACCTATAATTATATATACAATATTTACACGAAAAAAATATCATATAAAAAAATAACCAATCCCACAGAAAACTAAATCATATCAATTTGTAATCGAGCGATCGTGAACGAGATTCTTCAATGTCATAGAAATAAGCGTTGATTCTTGTGCAAAAAATTCAACAAAACAATCGTGCGTATCATTTTCTTTTTATATGTAATTTAAACGCAATAAAGGAAATGCAAATGAAACAAAAAATAATTCTAAATAAATTAATCAGCTATTGCAATTAAGTATTATAAAAAATAATTAAATGCTAAGTTTACCTGATGTAATATCTTCATCTTAAGATAAAAGTGTTTCTTTCTCAAATAAAAGAAGAATCAGCGATAGGGTGCTACTACAAAAAAGAAATAAAAATACACGAACATCCTTCTTCAAACAAAATTCGTTAAGTCAAATTAAATTTTTTAGTATTGCTGACAGTCCCTGCAAAATAAAACGGTCACAAACAAGGACCTAACTTAATCAAACCAAAAACAAAATTATTTCAAGTCTTCTTCAAACCAACCAATCAATAAATCAATCAAATAAACACTTTCCTATGACGATGATAGAGACACGACTGTTGGTCTATCTAAACTATGCTCGCCATTAATTATAACTTTGGTGTTGTTATTATTATTGGTGTGATTATTATTATTATTTACGTTGGGCGAGTTAGGACTCGATGAAGTCTTAGACGGAGGACTCGGACTGTTGTGAGGGAGAATGTCGTAATAGGGCGATATTTGAGGGGAATGTTGCGAAACGGCCGGATATTGGGGTATTTTTTGATTCTGGTTGCTATCATAGACATCGTAGTTTGTTCTGTTAGTTGACGTATCGTGAAAACGGTTGTAGCAAACGATGGACCTGAAGTCGGTCGGAAAGTCACTACTGCTATCTGTAAAGAGAACAGAAATAATTTATCTATGTTATTATCTTGCCGTACGGTACGGTATCAGCAAAAAAAGTTTTAATGAACTCCAGAAAACGGTTAATTTAGAAATTCGAAGAAGGTTCTTAAAGGTGTATGTTTGGAGCACGGCGCTGTACGGGTGCGAAACATGGACAGTGGGCGCGACGGAAAAGAAAAGGTTAGAATCGCTCGAAATGTGGTGTTACAGGCGAATGATGAGGATAACGTGGATAAAGGTTAGAATTGAAGAGGTATTAGGAAGAATAGAAGAACAGAGGACTCTATGGAAGTCAATACGAAATAGACGAGATAGGTTAGTAGGACACCTTCTCAGGCATGAAGGTCTGGTCAGAGACATATTAGAGGCAGAAACGGATGTTAGGAGGGGTAGAGGTAGACCTAGATCATGTTTAAGAATTAACTAATTCCACAACTTTTTAAAAGTTAGATACTGTAGGTACAATTCGCTGAATATGCTGAGTTTAAAAAAAAAATTTTATTGGAAAAAAAGTAACTTGGGATAACTTACCTAACTCCTGTTTTAAGGTGATACCAGAGTTCTTCAGCGGTGTTCCATTAGTGTTTACATCCTTCATCCCTTTCTGTTTACGCTTACGTGTCTAGAATAAAACCATAACGTCAATAAGAATCACCCTACATTTTTAACAATACAATCTGCTTTCCAAAACGTTACATAACGCAATATTTACCTGAATATTTTCCTTTTTCATCGACTTGGGTCTCTCAATCCCGTGCAACTTATAGTACAGACCACAGGCGTTACAAACTGTCTCCCCGTGGCCATTCCGCCTCCATAACGAGGTTGTCTTTGTGGTACAATTCGCACACATCATCCCAACACGTCTAGAAGCAGACTGAACCACAATTTACATTAAAATTCAATTGAGAATCACTTCTTCTAACGCCACAAAAATTAGCCCAGTTGTGTTTATTTTCAGTTGAGTTTAGAAATGAAATTTAGTGATTTTTTTTGTAGCAATGGAGGGGTAGGGCTAGAAGTTTGGTTAGTGAGTCGACCCTTATATTCCCGTAAAATAAAAAAATCCGGAAAACAATATCGTAATGAACAGGAGCAAATTAATGTGTATTATAATCAGTGACGTAAAATGGGGGGGGTGGAGATTACCCCCCAGACGACAGATGCATAAAAGTGCGAAACGCTCAGAGTCAACCCTAAGCGCCACTAATTCTAATTACGTCACTGATTATAATGAAAAGCTCAAACTCCGTGATACATCAACAATTCAGAGTAAATTCCACTATCCTATACCTATATAAATTCATTAATGAAATTACGGTAAGAAAAGACAACAAGAACGAAGGGAATGTTATCGTGGTCGTGTGCATTAGAGTTATTAGAGCATTGCGGACGGAATTTACCCCTATTGTTTGACGAAACTATCAAACAATTATTGTTTTCCTTCCTTTTTCTTATTTGTAGTTTCACAATAATTGCACCCCAGAGAGTTTATTAGTGTTAGTATTCGAAATTATCGTAAATTGAACAGTTCTGTTTACTGACCGACTACTAAAGAGATTTTGAAAGTTGGATTCTAAAAACAGTAAATTCAAGCGGATTTAACAATTAAATTTTACAAAGACAGTGTATTCCACAAACATTACGGATTATCTCTGTTTACATTTGAAGCACGAATTTGGCAAACGTGCGCTAGTGGAATGCATTTGAAAACGACATTTTTTTGTTAGTAAAAAAAAAAGCTAAAGCATGCAACCAAGCAACTAAGAACGGAGCAGGATAACAACAAAAATAAAATAAGTAAAATAATCAGACAAGGAATATTAAATATTAGTTAAATAAAAAATAACAACAATAATAATAAACAATTCACTAATACTACAAACCTGCTCCGTCCCAGGTACAGTGGGGCCACTTCTTACGTAAGTTTGGAAACTTTTTAAAATAAATAATAACAACTACATGATAAAGGAGAAGAGAAGCGAATTTTAATGTTGCATTTTCAATTGTTATTTAGTACTACTAATAATAATAATAATAATAAAGATAAAACAGAGGAGGGATGCCAATTGTAAGAATTATAAAATAATAAACTTGGGGGGAAATAAAAAACACAAAATACTACGCTTGCAGAGTAAAAACCTACCAAGCGACGGCTGGATTTTTCCTCAGTGACGTTCAGAGGGCCGCGATTGGCCAATGGGCCGCGAGTGGCCCCATTATACCCGTAGTAGTTCCTGCAGTAATCGGCAACACTCCCGTGCCCCGGCTCCGCCGCCACTGGAACGCAATACAGAATGGTTAGAGCTTGTTAGTACACGAACGCGCACGATTTTCATCTTAATAAACATTACACGTTTTGCATTAACTTTATTTTATTAATAAACAGCCAAAACGTAGCAGCAATTAATATCGTAGCAGCGTCGCCTCGTCACGGGCGTGTCATGGGGGAGTTTTCCCCAAAATTGGCGCATTTATACCCCGACTGTTTTTCGCACCTAGTTCACTTAAAAACGGGGTAGTTTTCTTCAGAAATGCAGAAACAAATAATTTTAATAAACCGTCAGACTGTCAGAAATGTAAGTTGAAATAATTTACAGTAATTTTGATTGAGTCAGCATCATTTTAGTAACCGCCTAGTCACGCCAATTAATACTTTTTTACTGCAATTATAAAAAGAAAATTTAATCGATACGTAGGTATTGTAATTAATACAGGATATCTAACAAGCAAGTAATGGTATCGTCTTTTGATTACCCTTAATTATTATGTAGCGGACGTTATTCGCACATATAGTTGGAACGTACAAAATTGGTATAGCCTACAACAAAACTGTCCCATTTACATTCTTTTTTCAACTTTCTAATCAGACTAGAGCGGTTGTTGACAGAACGCCTACTTTTACTGACGACAGATGACGTAGGGAATATTCTAAACATTGGAAAGAGATGCCAGGTAGGAATTGCAGCGGACACTAATAAAGAAGAAGTTCAACTTTCTCAGTAATTTGGGAAAGAAAAGACATTTACTTAAAAATATTTCAATCCTTAACCTTAACCTACATGTCGAAGTAAACTACCCCGTATATCCACTATATTGATTGGATTCTAACTCGTACAAAATGCGCAAATTTGAGAGATTTGTGCAAAAAATGTCATTTTTTGTTAGTAGAAAAGACATTCATAAAATGATAATTTTTTTTAAAGTACCAATCTGCGAGGCTGCTTCACCAGGGGTCGATTCATTCCATTCATTTTATGGTAGAGACCACAGGCGTTGCAAAGGTAATGGCCAGTGTTGTCCCTTCTCCACAAGGGCGTATCAACAGCCCCACAATTTACACATTCTCTTCCTTCAGTAAAATACTCCGCTGCTCTAGCCTCAACTACTTAAAGTCATAAGTTAATTTAACATCAACAAACCAATAATTATTAATAAACTATAACCAAACGTATTATTTTAACTGAAAAAAAGGCTGTTAGGTTAGGATAATAAAGTTACAATAGGAAAAGACAACACGTACGAAATACTTATAAAAAACTGTGTTTTCTAAACAAAAATGAAAGTGTCAGGCATTTATGAAGCAAGTTCGGAAAGTTTGACTCAGTTTTGCATAGAATGACATTGCTAGGTTGCTGATAGATCATTATTGGTCAATTTATTTAAAAAAATCCATATCATCCCTTTATTATATGTTGGGAGGAATCAAGCCAAATGTCTTGACTGGTATAAAACTAACATTTATACCTAACTGACTAATCACTAATCCTCACCAAAATTATAAATCAATCCGCAAAATTGCTAGAAAAGAAAAACGACCAACATATTTTATTTCATTTTTGGTCTAACTACAGTCAAACTGAAATCTTTTTTGATATCGTCGACAGCATCGTCCCTAACCCATCTTCATATTCAAATTTATTACCACCATCTACATTTCGACCTTTCGGGTCAAATTCCAGGCCGATTTCACGCATTAAATCGGGGTGAAAATAAACGCTAAAATAGCAATAACCAATAACATATATTTACAGGAGTTAATCCTCAACCGTCAGGAAGAACTGTCTGAAGGACAATTTACGGCATGATTCCTAATCGTTTGCAAGATATCTGGCGCCACTAACGTATCTAGTTACATAGACAATAAATCACATCTAGGTATATTGTTGGAGTGTCGTCTCATACACAGGCGTGCATATAATGTGCATAGATATGTATGTGTAGGATAAAATGCATATGCCGATGAATAAAAAAAGGCGGCAATTGTAACACCTTCCCAGAATATTAACGAATTCGAATCAAAACTGTTTTGGTGGAGGCGCCGCGCAAATGCCTGCGTTCTTCAAATTACTTCAAATCGCTTTTAACAATATTTGTCTTATTTATTTACGATTGATATGAAAAACTGCTCAACGTAATCGTGAATGAATATAGGGGAAACAGAAAAATACCAAGTCCGCTTATAACACCCCTAGTATAGTGGAAAAATAATTCATTAAACACTAACAGTAAATTTCAAGAAAAAGAATGAAGTTACAATTTGTTAATAACAATCTGTACATAGGTTAAGTTCAGAAAAACTTGCAGGATTTTTTGCTCAATTTCAATTACTTTCATTTTTCTTACAG